TCCAAGGTAATTGGTTATTCAACCCATGCTAGTGCGTGTATGCTCATGGCAGATGTTCAATCCTTTGCAGTGGCTGAGTCTGTAATTGTTATGCTTCCTCACATCTGACTAGGCTCTTGTACCATCTACAATAAGGACCCCCAGGTATGAATTAAGCTCTTAGTGCCAATGTGATAGCTATCAGGTCTGGTAACTGGGCCAGGAGTCCAAGCATGACAAGCCAGAGGGGATTACACCATTGTTGAGGAGATAGATGAGGGGTTTGACATAGATATATTCAAGAGCTGTCATAGGGTACAAATTATAGGTGAACAGACTTGGGGCTCTAGTTTTAAATTGTGTTAAATACCTGCTCCCTCCATAGGCTCCTAGCAACTTATGACTGTTACTTGCATTGTGGAAGATTAATTTTTCAGTGGGTGAACGATTGTTTTTAGTTGGCACTTATATTTCCAAAACGTTAATGGAATATGGCACTTCTGTAGATAGGATCAAGGAATTTCATCCAAACATCACCTATACTGTCACATTTTAGACAACCTTTCTGTGTCTACTAATTTTGTATCAGTTGACAGGATACTTTTAGTTACAATTTTTTACGCTATTTTCTGTGCCTTTCCCTCACATCATTAGTCCCAGCAAGCTGATCTTCTTTTCAACTCTCGCTGGCATCTCATCATGTCTCCCTTTGCCTTAACCTTATAACTTCGGCACCTAAGAGTCCTGTTAGAGTCGAAAGACTGTTACTCCTGCTGTCAGCCTGCACCCTGCATTAATCAACCAGCAGGGAGGTGATCAAGTGCAACTATTCTTGCACAATTAGGCACTGACAAAACACTATACCTCTCTCACATTATCCCAAGCCATTCCCCACCTAATTAGTTGTTTTTTAGGCACTGACATGTTCATCTTATCTAATTAAAAGCCTAATTGAAGCAGAAACCAGGACATCCAGTGTGTCCTGTTGAACTAAGGTTTGCATGCAATGTAACAGGGTCTATAGGAAAAATATTTTTTCCAGTGTAAATACTCCAGATCAAGGGGTATCCACTGAATTGAAAAATAAACAAGACTAAACAGAAACCCTAGTGCATATTTTAACTTAAATTTATGAATGCAAATGAAAAAGAAAAGGTTTTTGTATTACAAAAAAAACAAAACATCTTTGAACATCTTCCAACAAGTAGAGAAATAATAAATAAATGTAAACTGTGTGACCAGGACAGAGTAAGTTCTTGTGTCTTCTGCAGCTGCAGAATTTGGAAGACTATGCTCCAGCTCTCCCTCACTTAAACCTACATATACACCCAGTTAGCCTGCAGTTACATTTAGCTCTGCCTGATTAGACTGCTTGTTGGGATCTCATTGCTAGCACCTGAATGAGATCATGAGGCTATACGGGGCTTCACTGATGCGCCATCGATAAACTCAAGCTCTGGTTGGATCTCCCACTGATTCAAAGGGTGGGGCGAATAGAGAAACATGAACTCTGTAGCCCTTTACAGAAATGATGAAATGTACAATGTTCGTGTATCTTTGAGAAGCATAGTTAAAATAATTTTAAGGGCAGCTGTTCCTTGTGTGATTGAAATTATGAGGAATATTCTTCCATGGTGTTGTCTGAAAATTGAGATGAGGGAGTGTTTCTTTTAAAAGGGCAGGACATATACTGGGATTAAATGCACACATTCTGGGAAATCAATTTGTCAGTGTTTTTTTTTTTTTAACTAAGTAAACAGAAGGCCAGACTGAATGACACCATACAGGCCACCGCAGAGAAACTTTGTACACTTTGTACAAAAAATCTGCTATAAGTGATAACTGAATGGAATCATCAGAATGCGATTTTTATCCAAATACATACACCAAGTGGCAAACAGCTAAGAGGAGTGATGAATCGACTAGCAGCCGAGTTAAGGAGACGAACCAAAGAGAAACATCAATCTCCAAGTGCGATGATTTGTTTTCAAAGAGACAGTTCAGTGGGATGAGCGCGTGCCACTGATGTGAAAGACAAAGTGGTCTGCAGTATGCTGAACAACTCTGTCCATGAATAGACAGTCCTTTTGATTACCTTTCCAGATAAAAGAACTTACCCACAAGGTTGCGTAAAATTAAACTCTCTATAGGACATTTTTCTGCTCTTAAGTCTTTGTCAGGAGAACAATTATTCTTCAACAGAACAGATATTTCTCCTTGAGGATACAGATTTTTTTATGCCCATACTGTGTTATGCATAGCTTACAAACAAAATACAAGTCTGGTGAATGCTTGTGCTACAATACGTAGCTATTCTGATATTTTCAGCTTCTGAAGTTTTACATTTCTGAGCAATGGGGTTTTGAAGCTGAATGGGTAAATAAAGAGCCCAATGATGGAAAAACTTCACGGCATGTTTTTTAACATCCTTTATGGCAAACGGTAGCAGAAGCTGAGCAAGAGGCTGATTTGGCTCCACCCAATTTTTTTTTTTTCAGGACAGATCATTCCATCCTTGATCAGGCAAGCTCCTGTTTCCTAAGGACTTTGACCTCTGATAATCACTCCTTGGTCACCATTCCAGAACTCTGCACCTCTCCTGTTGATTACTGCCACTGCATGTAATGGCCTCTGTGGAGTACATTAGGGTTTATTTGTGCAGTATTGTGGGAAAAGGGAAGCTTGCCAGATGCTGAGCACACTGCCGTCACACAGATAGAGTAACAACATTTTATAGGATGTCTTTCAGATGCAGATTGACAATTGTTAAGCTTCGGTGTCTTGTAAAAGCCTGAATGTTATGATTCATAACGTATGTATTGATCTTTCTGGGTGGGGAGCACTTTTCACAGGAAGGTGAGACTGAGTAATGTCTCGTGGATGCTAGGCTTGATGGGATTTTGCAGTTTTCCGGTCAAAGACATGAGGCATCCCCTGAAATTGTTCTCAGCATTCATTCATTCCAAAATTACTCACTCCCCTGAAGAACTTCAGTTGGACTCCTTTAAATTCTGTTAAATGCACAGTTTTATTTGACATTTTGATTATTATATGTTACCTTTTTTCCCCACATTGCTTGCATAGGGACTTCTCACAGGGCACCGTCTTTGCACAACCTGTGCATTTGTCACCTTTGGAATTACAGTTGCCCTGTCTCCAGTGGGGCAGAGACTTAGTACAATTGCTTTATGTAACTTGTGAAGCTTTCATAGCTCACTGTTTTCACAGGGCGTGTGCACATCTCTCCCCTGGAGAAGTGGTTTCACTGGCTATGTGGAGTTGTGAAATTGTGGTTTCATGGTGTCTACTACTTGCTTCCTGCAGAGTAGGAGTTTCACAATACATATTCAAGTCTCCTTGCAGACAGTGGCTTCGTCATAGCAATAAAAATAACCAGTGGGATGGATTGGAAAATGAATGTCAAAAAAATTCCAGATACCCAGTCAGAAAGGTGACAGCTATCTTTAGTTTTCGAGGTTCCTTTCAATTAATCTGATATTTATAATAAGCATCTTATGGATTAAACTCAGCACTACACTGCTTAATACACAGAGTGATGATACGAAGAATATTTCCTCTTAAAATGTAAAAAAACTTAATTGCTTATCTCTGAAACATTTAGGTGTGCTGTGAGACAAGGCAAAAACTGAAGAGTAACCAAATTAAGGAGAAAAAAAAGCTACACAAACAAATATCTCTCTGGTGAATGGGCCTTTTGTCCAAAGCACTGTGCTAGAACACAGACAGCGGTGGGTTTGCTCATTGATTGTAGCCATTAGGGGGTCTTATACCTGGCCATAAAATGAGCTTCACTCATGTGTTCATCTTTAAAAGCTCTTTTGGGGCTGACAATTGCACACAGCAGGCAGGCTCTAAAGCCAGTCTGTGGTATTCTCCACACTGACTCCGGTCCTCTTTTCATCCCTGACATCTACAGAGTGCTGCAGAGAAATGGACATAGTGAAGGGGGGGGGGGGGGCAGCAGTCTGTAAATGTTTAATAGCTAATGCCTGACCACGCCGCACCTATCTCTCCCCTCGCGCCAGTCAAAACGCAGCTTACAGGTAAACAGTGGGGAAGTTCATCTCAGAAAAAACGGGCCTACATGCCGCACTGGAGCTGTCGGCTCATTAATCATGGTCGAGGGGGAGGTCGGGCTGGGAGATGAAGTGAAGTGTGCAGTGGTATCTCGCAAAGCTTGGGAAAACCCTTTAAGTGATTAAGGAACTGGATTTGTGACCGAGAGGTAGCCTTTTAGTGCCAGAAAGTGTTATATGGGCTGACATTTGTGCCACTAGAAACTGAATATGAATTTTGTATATTTGAATCTGCAGTTATCCGCATTACAAAACTGAATCTGAATTTAATAGTTTGAATCTGAATTCCAGTAACTCGAAATAGCATTTATCCTACCTCGAAAAATTCAGTTCGCAAATTCAATTTCAATCTAGTGTGACACACATAACTCGAAATAGCATTTATCCTACCTCGAAAAATTCATTCGCAAATTCAATTTCAATCTAGTGTGACACACATCCGGGTCCTTGAGAAAAAGTAATCGACCGCAGATTCACAACGCAACTCATTTCCACGTTTACGGCAGTTCTGCAGGTCGGGGTAAAGAGGAGGCGTGTGCCGGGGTGTCACAAGCGCAAATGCGGGATCATATACGTAATAAAAATTAAGCAGTACCGGCACTGCTATATCTTAATCTTTATCGTACCACCACTTCTCACAAGTTGCCAGTACTCTGCTACTCAGAGACAAGCGTTCATTTAACCACATATACTACCATATACTAACCAGACGTAAGGTTAATGTTTATGCTATCGCTTGTGTATATAAAGCTTATTCTCATATGTATCATAAGGTAATGACAAACCTGCGAATCCAGCATTTGTTTTTCTTGACATCCCGGCACACGCCTCCTCTTTACCCCGACCTGCAGAACTGCCGTAAACGTGAATCTGCGGTCGATTACTTTTTCTCAAGGACCCGGATGTGTGTCACACTAGATTGAAATTGAATTTGCGAACTGAATTTTTCGAGGTAGGATAAATGCTATTTCGAGTTACTGGAATTCAGATTCAAACTATTAAATTCAGATTCAGTTTTGTAATTCGCATAACCGCAGATTAAAATATACAAAATTCATATTCAGTTTCTAGTGGCACAAATATCAGCCCATAGGTGTTACGCCCTCTTTGGTTCAAATGAAGCTAAACTGTTTATAAAGGAATTAGATATAAATATACGGTATAATCTAAGATATTAAAAACCAAAATAATTATTAAAAACCTTTAAAGGAAAGAACAATATTAAAATACTATGTGCCAATTTATAACCAGATGCAGATGAATCTGCGATTGTGCACTGCACTATGAAATTATAACTACAATGTACCTTTGACATGGTAAGGCAGAGAAGCTAAACCTCCTGGTCACCCTGAGCTCAGTGGTTTGTTTTAAAAAAACACAGGTTTTCAAGCTGTAATGGAAGACTGATGGAGAATGCTGTTTGTCAGGAAAAAAAAACAATAAATATTCATGCGATTACCATGAAAAAAACATCATGGAAAAGTATTGTGATATATATCAGTGACACTTTGAGACAAAAAGGAGAGAAGGAGCTCTAAGGTGGTAATAAATTATGAAGAGTCTGGGGGGAGAAGCTAATTAGGCATAGCCCCAGCCAAAAGCACAAAAAGAAAGAACTTCTTCTAAATCTAAATGTTATAGCTGGGCGGCTGGAATTTAAGCAGCTGGAACGCACATATTAGAGTAATTTCTGACTGTGCCTACCAGCAAACAGCATTTAACGTAAAACGCAACTTCTGCGAATTACATTTTTTGAAGAATTTTGATATATAATAGCTTTGCTGTTATTTCAACGCACGCCGACAGACAGCTACAGGAGGATTAATTCACCAGCCAGCCATAACACGTGTTTCTGAATATTTTAATGGTGTACCAGCTTTTCTGAGATGTATCTTTAGTCAGACCTTCTCCTCGGAAGGAGATAAATGGAAAAGAAATGAAAACCAATGGAATCCATTTTTTTTTATGACAGGCCTTGACAACAGTACGATCACCCAGGACCGATAATGAAAGAGCAAGTGATGAGCCACTATTTGGTCTGCAGCTGCAAAAAGTGGAGGAAAGACTTGTATGTATACAGACACATGCTGCAAAGTTCAGAGTGTTCTGTCTGTGCTCCCAGACAGGACTGGTATGCTGACAGCAATAATTATGTGCACTTATTACTCCTTGAGAGAAGGATCTTTTCTCCTCAGCAGAGTTGAAAACAGAGCAAATTACATCATCAGGTCAACTTAATTGGATTCCAGGCCAAAACACTGCATGGTCTCCGCTTAATCACAATTTATTGGAGCATCTCCTAGTCCTGTTTCCCCAGCCCTGGTGATCAGGCGCATTTGAGAAGAATCTGGTTCAGCCCGGAACAATACATCACGATTTCTTACCTGTTGGCAAACACACCATTTCTAGAGATTGCAATCTGTTCAGTGGCTCCCCCAATATGTGGCAGCTCTTGAGTACCGTAATTCCCACTGAAAAGGGCAGGAGATGTTGACTGCTAATGCTGCCGGAGTTTAGCATCTTCTCTACTCACTCCTGTGCCCTGCTGGCCAACCAATAAGGCACCTGTAATACACAGGGAGAAGTATGGATGCTGCCCTTGAGCCGTGCTGAGCAGTCTGCACATGTCTCTGAAACTTTAGTGATATCCTGAAACTATAGTGATAGAAAGAACCAGGCAAATAATATCTAGGGAGGTGAACCAAACTGTATATTCAACATAGATCATCTAATAAAGGGTGGAAGGTATAAGATGATTGATATGAAAACATACAAACAGTCAGTGTTTTATATAATATAATACTAAAACCAAATCATGGGTTTATGTTACCTGCTTATGATCACAGATGATCAATAAATAACAAATCTTGCTCAGAGGATGTTCTCACTTTAACCTTAAGGGTACGTGTTAAGTCCATCCATCCATCTTCTCCAACCATACATATATAGAAGCTCAAAACTCTGAACACCTGCATTATTTTCAATTTATATGCTTCTCTGTCATTGATATTGTACAAGACACCTACTGGACTGGAAAACTATAGGAAACATATTAAAATCTGCAAAACTGAAGGCCTTTTCTGTCAAACACTGAATGTCAAGCTGCAACTGCTAACCCTGTGAAAATCTCAGACTGCCACCTGTCATCTTCGCATTTGATCGTCTTGACGAGATGATAAGTGTCATAGAAGTAGAAAAAAAAATGTCAGCTGGTACAAAAAGCAGTCAATAAAACGAATTTTCAGATCTTTCCACAAATGAACTCCAGGACTAACAGTACTTGGGCTCAGAGGCTTCTTATTACAGTATCTGTCACACTGAAGACCAGTACAGTTGCCTGTCTCTCCTCTGTCCGTATTGCTCTGCATGCCTTGAACCATAACATCTCCCTTACACAGCTAGTTAAGCTGGTTATCATAAGTGCTGGAGTGATGGAGCAGATTAGACTCTGAAGCTCTCTGTGCTGTGCTACCTTCATGTGCTTCCATGGATTGTTAGCAGCTAATCAATTATAGCTCCCCTTCCCTCTCTTTCACACGCACGTCTTATGCTGACTGTTGCCAATTACTTCGGCTGATGACTGTGACGTCAGCAAGAACTATCAAAACTAATTTGGTTTCCCAGCACACAGCATCTCTGACCCATTATTCTGTCTAAATATGCCACATATGGCACATAATACCATCCATTCTTGCTGAATAATACTAAGAAGTCTCCATGACTTCATATTTGATAGGTGTCGACCTTCTCAAATGTTCATGCTTCCTGTCTGCTGCTCTCCCTACAGTGATCATGATCAAGGTCCTACTTACAAGGGCTTCCACAGAACATCATCCTACATCCTCAACAAGTCCATCATGGTTCGCCAGCTTCGGATCACTGCATATGCTTTGTCTTCAGGATCTATTAATGTGTCTGTGGTTGAAGTTTCTTTCTATCAGATGTTATACATGGAAAGGAACACTTTCATTATTCTGAAGCAGGTAATGTCTATGTCCATGAAAATATCATATGAGCACTTACAACACTGAGGACACGACTATAAAACAAAGCAAGAATGTACTGGGTTTAGCTAGCTAATAGAAGCCACGATTGCCTACCTGTGCAGCATAAAGTAACATTCAGAAGTTCTAAAAAAATACAAGTGCTTCTTTTGCTGTTTTGAAGGTAGGAAACAGATTTCCTTAGTGTTTATGTGGCTCTGCTGATTCAACAGTATAGGTTAATAAATGCTTATTAAAGACTTGGATTGAATTTTTTTCATCATATGCTTTCGGTAAGAAGCATTAAAAGACAGTTACACTACCTCATATTTCTGGTCTCATTATTTTTAGTACATCCTTATTTTTTCCATGACATACACAACATATACAGCTCATACTATGGCATAAAATTCTCTAATTCTTCGTCATTTAGAACCTTGTTGGACATGACTCTACAAATGTAGGTTTCTTGATTTGCATTAAAATGTAATCAGCACTTAATCTTCAGTCTATGGGTTTGGTATTTGCATTAATTCTTAGCAGCTTAACTAAAACTAAATATTGATCTTTTCCCCCCATTTGATTACATTCATTTGATCAAACGAAAGCTGCCAGATGGATGCTGTGTTGCTGGCAGTTTCTCTGTACAGCACGCAGCTCTGTGGGAGGTCTTACAGCAATGGATGGAAAGTGGTACGAGGATGGGAGGCGATGGTAGTGGCAGCAAAGGGATAAACATGCCAGGCGTGAACGAGAAGGGCTACCACCCACACTAAAAGCTGAGGTGCCAGGAGAGGCAGGGGAAGAAGGGTGGATCATCCCCTCTAGGAAGAGGCTTAAGGAGGGGAGGACTGTGCCAAGAAGCTCTGCATACGATTATCGCAGTACACAATGAGGCTCAGAGAGGCAGCCATGCAGGAAAAGAGAAAGAGGAAGGGAGCGACACAGAGGGAACGAATGACATATAAGCAGATTGTGATAGTAGGCAGGAAGATCTTAGGTTCAGCAAACACTGCTCATTGATTGCCAGGGAAGCACCTTTAAAACTCAGGCACCAAAATGAAATGCTTTTATATTATTATATTATATATATATATATGTTTTTATATTATTTGTATGGTTACGTATGCGTGTAACAGAGGGCCATGGACTCCATAAATGCTTTTGAAGCTTAGGTACAAAGAAATGTGTTTGGGAGAAACATGCAGTATAGATTTGATCTTATTCTTGTATGTGTTTGTGTGTGTATGCGTGTGTCTCAGTGGGCATGTATGTATTTCATTGCGGGAAACAAATGTCCCCACAATGTGATAAAAACCTGTTATTTTGACCTTGCGGAGACATATTTTTTTTGTCCCCACAAGGGGAAACTAAATTTTTGTAAATATCTGTGACTGCAATCATACAACTAAAAATGCCAAAAGTCTTGTGTTTTGTTAGGTCTGGTATATTGTTCTATATTGTACATCATTATTTAATTATGGTTAAGGTAAGGGCTGGGTAGATAGTTAGTTAGAATTAGGGTTATGCTCATAGAAATGAATGGAGAGTCCCCACAAAAATACAGATACCTAATCTGTGTGCATGTGTGTGTCTGTGTGTGCATTTACATGTGAGTGTGTGTGGGGGCGATATTTCAGATAGTTTGCAGTGGAAACTTAATTTCATTTAATGCCTATCACCAACATTTCTGATCTTGTTAATGTTTTAACTGGAACAGTTAATCTCTGAGTGACAATGCCTTGTAGTCTCAAGTTGAGGACAAGCTGAAAGAATATAAAATCCCTGAGGGATCACTTTTGATGATTACACAACCCACTATGAAACATCTCAGTTTGGCAGCCATGTCAAATATTGTTCAGAAATTAAGGAATCGGTTTTTTCTTGCAAGTGTACTTCTTTGCTAAGATACTCATTTGGCTAAGTAAGTGCAGCTGTCAGAAAGCCTGACAGATTGTTTTTTCTTATTTTTTTATTGCTTATGTGTGACTATGAGGAACTAATAAACTCGATACTGAGGGACAAGCTTCTTTCCATAAATCAGTAATAATCATCCCTGCGATGGGCTGGCCCCCCATACTGAGTTGTTCCCCTCCTCGTGCCCGTAGCATCCGGGATAAGCTCCGGACCTCCCACGACCCAGAAGGATAAGCGGTTTGGAAAATGGGTGGATGGATAATCATCATTTAAACTATAAAACCAGGGCTAGAGGTTTTTTGTCACATCTAAAGAACAAACAAGAAATGTGGCAATTATGTTTGTCTTAACCAGGGCAATTCAAATCCAGATTTGCAGTGGTGAAACATTAATTAACATCATGAACCCTCACCATATTATAGCCAAACGAAAAAACTAAATGTTTGAGGAAAAGTTATGCAAATAAGGCTGGCTTATTCATTTTTTGTCTGGCTTCAAAATAACTATGGTAAAATGGCAACAACTGACACACACACACACACACGCACACACAATTTGGACAGGAGTATTGGGACCCACCTCTCAATCATTGAATTGAAGTGTTTAATTCAGACCCATTTCCTCACGTGTATAAAATGCGATTCTCTGACCTTCTAATACCTACGCATATGATGTTCTTCAGCCTTGCAAAGAGAGCATTCCTCAGTGTGATTTCCCCCTAAATTCTACATACACAGAAGACATTGGATGGTAGATTTGGATCTTGTGAGTTTTGTTTCCACATGTCAGGTGACTTGACCATCAGGAAGTTCTTTGGTGGGAGCCTTGTATCGGTCTTCTGGTAGCTATTTAAAATTTCTTTAAAATGTTGCCTTGAGTTACAGTGCACAGTGATATAATGAGGGCATATGGGAGGTTGTATTGATTCACTTTTTCCTGCTGCCAGTCATATAGCAAAGGCACTTGCAGTGAATCCTTTGTGCCAGCAGGTGGCACCCTGAACTGAACAAGCTCCTAGTAAGTCCGTCTCAAAAAAACCAGTTACTAATTAAATTCCATGTGTGCGTCAGAAAAATGAACTTTTAGAGGTAGGATGAACATAAGGGATGTACTAAGTACCAGTTTGATCAAATTCTGCTGCTGTGGATCTTTTCAGATGGTTGCTTTCTTCTATCCCTCTACCTCTAACTCTACCTGCTGAAATTGCCTGTCTGCCTCTGTCCTGATTGTCATGCATGCTATCAACCAGTAGGTCCTTAAATGACTAGTTAAGCAGTCATAAGCATTGTAGTGATGGAGCAGTCGTGGAGAACTAATGGAGGACTGGGGGGGGGGGTGGTGTGATGAGGCTGTAACCCAGGTAACCAGGCATTCAGGAAGCACATGAAAATCATGCACTTTTGTCAATGTAATGACCCTCAATTTAGTCCAAACCAATTGGGTCTGAAACACGCAGTCCTTCCCCATGGGGATCCCGTTACATTTTATAATGAAACATGTACAAGGCTTATATATTAAGATGGCTGTGGACAGGCAAAATGGTAGGTTAAAACAATATTTATATGAAATAAAGCATTTATATGTATGTGCATCATATAGGCAATATGCCACAACTTACCACAGACTAGGTGTCTGTTTTTAAATGGAAGGAATGATAAAATTAGAATAATAATAATTGATTACACAATTACGCAGATGTGGATCAGTATGATGTATCCTATACTCAAAAGAAATGGGTGCATGGAAAAGGGAGAGGGAGAATGTGTGAGATTAGTGTGTAAGGCTGGTTTGGGTTGGGAAGACGTAGCCACAGACAGTGTCAGACTGACTGACAGTCAAACAGACTCAGACAGACAGAGAGAGTCAGTCAGTCAGAAAGACAGAGTAAGAGAATCATACAGACAGAATAAGACAGACAAACAGAGTGAGACAGACAATGTGACTCACTCCAGGCCCTAACTCTGAACTCCATTCCTGTACAAATGCCTGTCGGAATGTTGTCCCTGGTCAGAGAAACAGACGGAGAGAGTCAATCAGGCAGACAGTCAGACTACCAGTCATAGTAAGACCAACAGAGTCAGACACACAAACAGGCAGAGTCAGAATCAGAGCAAGAGACAGACATAGACAGACAGAGTCAGACAGACAGATGAACAGACAGAACCAGAGAGAGTCAGACAGAGAGATTCAGACAGACAGTGTCAGACAGACAGACAAGTGAGACAGACAAAGGGTCTCACCCCAGCCCCTGACTCTGAACCCCACCCGTGTACAAAACCCTGTTGAAATATCGCTGGTGCCACCAAAATTAACACTTCTCTTTCCACACTTATTCCTGGGGGTGCCGCTCCTCCAGGGTGGGGTTCATAAATAATGAGCTGCTGTCAAAAGCCTTTATCTACCCTTGCTCCACTGTGGCCTTTCATAGGTAGCCAGCACTGATGGAACACGGCCAGACAATTCCTGTCCCATCTTCCTCGAATCTGCTCATTCCCATCACACGGCTGCTTGCAGAGCTTCCCACAGCGGCGGCTCACCAACGAGTCCAGGACCGCGTCGCTGCTCCCCAGGAAGAATGGGCACTTTCATCTCACAGACATAAGTTTTCTGTGCATAACCCATGAGCAGGAAACATAACCACACTGGCATAGTAGCTTCCCTGCATGGACTGAAGATTGTCGTGGAGCTGCGGACTGGAGGAGGGGTCTATACAGTACCACCCAAATTGCAATAATGTAAAGCGAAGGAGTCGCTTTGGGAACAAAATCAACAACAACAACAACAAATTTATTTTTGTATAGCGCATTATCACAACATTACATTGTCCCAAAGCGCTTTACAGCATCCCCACCCAAAGCCCCCAGTGAATAAGCCATAGGCGACAGTGGCAA